GACTACCTACCACTGTAGTGAAAGTAACTGTGACTACCTACCACTGGAGTTAAAGTCACTGTGACTACCTACCACTGTAGTGAAAGTCACTTTGACTACCTACCACTGGAGTTAAAGTCACTGTGACTACCTATCACTGTAGTGAATGTCACTGTGACTACCTACCACTGTAGTGAAAGTCACTGTGACTACCTACCACTGTAGTAAAAGTCACTGTGACTACCTACCACTGTAGTGAAAGTCACTGTGACTACCTACCACTGTAGTGAAAGTCACTGTGACTACCTACCACTGTAGTGAAAGTCACTGTGACTACCTACCACTGTAGTGAAAGTCACTGTGATTCCCTAATATTTTTGCCTTTAACTTACAAAATGTATGGTTTACTGCTACGAAATACATCTCTTGCAAAATTGAAGCGATTTACAGTAAATTGGTGGTATGGCATAACATCTAAAGGTCCTAAATAAAATATTGCTGTTCAGTTGTCTACACAGACAAACAGACAGACAGACAGACAGACAGACAGACAGACAGACAGACAGACAGACAGACAGCCAGACAGACAAACATTAGCTCCAGCGAATGCTTCCACAATGTCTCATGTAATATTGGGGAGATTGCGAAAAAAAAGTAAAACTGTACGTTTTAAAATCAAACAGATACATCTATGTAATTAGTTAAGCATAAGTTTACGTCATATTAAAGTATAAAATAGTTGAAGCAATTTGGTTTATGTGTGCTTTTATTATATTAGAGATTTGCTTGTAACAGAATGCTTTACAATCGTGGGCTAATTGAGATGCATGTAAGACTGTTTTCCAATTCTTTTTGGCTGTTTTTTTTTAACAATAGGGTAGTACAATTATTAGTACTGTAAGGTAGGTAAATACATGTATGTTATTATTGCGACTAATGTTGAACATCATTACCTTACTAATTATATGCAAGCAAGTTTTGATTCGTGTCTTTATGGCTCTAGACACAACAGTTTTATATTTTTTTACATGTATCTAGCACCCAGACGATGTTGCCTCTAGGCTAATTTGATGTGTTGCAGACGTATAGAGGTTTTCCCTGACGCAATTAGGTACATGTAGTTATGTTTATTCCCTGGCGTGTCATTGACTCAATAGAAAAATCATACAAAAGTTATTTTGAAAAATATTTTACTATACATTGAGACATTTGCAATTTGGTAAAAGAAAATTGACATTTTATAAACAAAATAAGTGTGGAAATTAGGGAAATGTGGGGTCAGTTGTGCAATACCCTCTTCTAAGTAGGTGACCATGATAAAATTGTTCAGACAAGTGTGGAATACAGTGAAAGACAGACGACATTTAGCAAACAAACTAGTTGCTGTTATCGACAGTGCTTTTTACACATCTACTTCATTTCTATTCATAGTAGAGTAGCTTTTTTTCTGACACTTGTCATTGCTGATAATACAAACGCCATTCATATTTATCTACCCTATGTACATGTATGTTGTCCAGAAAGTAAGGAGTACAATTGACCTCATGGTTGAAATAGCTTTGCTGTCTTTGTAGAGTGTTTTTCTCAAAACAAAGTTGATGTTTTGTTACTATGAGATTTAAGCTATTTGCCATGGTTATTAGTGTTCCCACAATGTTCTTGCCACATCACAACCATGGTAGTTTATATGGTTGTTGCCATGGCAATTAAAATTGTTATCTAGTTATAAATCACATGGAGGTCCACCCATGGTAGCTAAATACTATACTAAGTATGAAAACAATTAAGACAGTAGTTTTCAAGTTATAAATAGCATTTTTTTACTGAAAAATATTTACTTAAAATTGAGAATTGAAGATACTGTCACGAAATGAAGAAATCCGACAGAGGTCCACCCAAGTTAGGGGAGAGTAGGAAATCAAAATCCATAAGTCCAATGCTGTATACGAATTGTTGTTGCGTGAAACAATGTTGTATTTTATGCATGTATTTATCACCAATTCCAAGAGTAAAAGTCGTAACTTTCGAAGGTACGAATATTATGACTCGTTCATACATTTCACTTACGTTTGTTACACTTGAATAAAGTCTACCACATGAAAAGAATGTTATTTACAAAGTTTTAAATAGCCGAGCCTTCCTGATTCGAGCCCTCTTGTTGATTTGACAACGATGGGTATCATTAATGTTTATTCTTTGCCTGTATCTATCACATTCCAGACAAAAAGTTCAAGATCGGTAAACAAGAAATGGACGAACTAAAATGTCTCCTGTGTTTCACGTGCGACATGATTATTAAAAAAAAAAAAAAAAAAAAACAGAGTTAAGCGGTCATGTACGTTCTAAAAATCTAACCTTGCACACATAATCTTGTATTTTTTTTTTTTTTGGTCAAAAACAACGTTGCCTTTCAGTTAACTCTTCGGGAGAGTTTACCGATTTTTTGAACAAATGTTAAGTAACTATATCGTTTTGCGTCAAACTGGGTGGCCCGAATTTTAATGTCAGTGCGTGAACTCATTGAGGTCATTGCCCATTGCCGCACGTAATTCAAACACGTGTTTATTAGAGTTCAGTCGAAATGTACGCGAATAATGCTATTGAAGTGCGCTGCGAGTTTATTATAGAAAAATTAAACATTACGCATGATATTGTATGTTATTGTATGGTTAATATTACATATTCACATTATTTTGAATAAAATAATTCACCGATGAGTCGCAAGTATTTAAAATATTTTCTCGACTTTCGTTAGACACCTGACTCCGAGACCTGACTATCTTTTTCAATGATTTAAATGCGCCCATGTTTATATTTGCGTAATAATTACGAATGCAACGCATTATCAAGTCGGTAATATTTAAATATTCACAGACCCAATAGCCC